TTGGCCCTTGCCGCTACCCACTGCTTGAGGGAGGGGGACCCAAAGCTTAGCTGGACCTTCCCCAGCTGTTGGGTGGTGGTCTTGGGGGGCCTCTGGTGGTGATCAAGGCAGAGAGGGGCCCAGAGCACCCAACGCAGAGCTGGGAAGTATGGCCTTCCAGAAAGCCGCCAGGTACCTACAGGGTTGACAAAACCAAGAAAGTGTTAACATACAGTGTTGATCAGGATGTGGGGAAATGGGCAATCCACACTCTTCGGGAAAGTAATCCAACGCTTTTTTTAAAAAAATTAAAAGCACATATACATTTAAAAAATAACAAATAAACACACATACATGCCTCTTGTCCAGCAATCCAAGTTTGGGGGAATTTAGTCTATCGAAGAAATAAAAATACTAGTACACAATGTTGTTTGAAGAGGAATATTTATTACGACAATATTTGTAGGATATACACACAAAACTTGAAAAGCCTAAACATCCATCAATGGGTGGAAAATTAAACAAATTGTAGTATGGCTGTCTAAGAAATATTGTGTAACTATTTAAAAGGAGTTATTTGCTTAGCTCTTGATCTTGAAGGATTAGTAGAAGAGAAATATATATCATAATTTTGTAAAACTGAAAAAAAGCCCAGTATGGGTGTATGTCAGGATATGTTTCCATGAGCACGGGGAGAGGTGTGTGAGGACCCATGTGTCTACTACCACTAGTGCAGGCTGGGTTAATGTTCTTCGCTCTATGTATCATTGTATTGCGTGGCGGATTACAAGAAATGAATGACTTTTTTGGGTTAAATTCTGAGAGAGGAGTTTACTCTAAATGGTGGGGGTGGGGGATGGGCTAGGGGTGGGGAGGGAAGCTGTGGAGGAGACTCCAGGAGCAAACCCGTTAGCGGTGAGAAAACCAGGGACCCCAGATTGGGGGTTCGAAGGCAGGGAGAGCCAGGGGCCCGCCCTGGGCTCTGGCGCCAGCTGGAGGTGGGGTAGGGTCTGCAATCACAGAGCCTGTCCAGAGGCTGGCTTAATTCAGGGAGATTATCTAGAGCTTCCTGAGAAGGCCGGAGTGGGCTGGAGTGCTGGGTAGCCTGTAGCAAGAGGAAATTAAGGTGCTGGAGTATAAGGGAAAATTGCTCCACAGTATTAAAGGTCATAAATGAGGTTCTCTCCTCCAGGTTATTCTGAAGAATTCAGTGAGACCCATGGGATTAAGCCTGTTTGGAGGCAGGAGGAAACAAGAATAATAATAGCTAACAGTAGGTAAGAGGCATGTAGTGTGAAAGCGCTTCACCCATGTTATCATATTTGACCCAAAGTACAACCCCATGAGGTAGGTATGATCATGCCCATTTTACAGAGGAGGAAACTGAGGTCCGGAGGGGTTAAGGAAGCCACCCGTGGTTATGCGGCTGGTAACAGAAGTCTTCTGGCTCCTGGGTCCTCACTGTAAAGGCATGTCCTTCCAGGGCGACAATCTGAACAGGAGGTTACACTCTTTGCCTCCACTTCCTTTTGGGGGCTGGAGCTGGGAGGCTGCCCGAGCCTGGCTGGGCAGTGCTGGGCCCAGTTTTCTTCTTTCTTTCTTCTTGGTTCGTTTTATTTATTTATTTATTTTAAATTTATTTTATTGGAGTATAGTTGATTTACAATGTTGTGTTAGTTTCAGGTGTACAGCAAAGTGATTCAGTTATACATATATATATATATTCCTTTTTTATATTCTTTTTCATTATGGTTTATCACGGGATATTGAACATAGCCCCCTGTGCTCTACAGTAGGACTTGTAGAGCCATTGTTACCCATTCTCTACATAAAAGCTGACACCTGCTAACTCCGACCTCCCACTCCATCCCTCCCCCAACCCCCTGTTCCTTAGCAACCACCAGTCTGTTCTCTATGGGCCCAGTATTTTTTATGCTGGTATTTGGGTCTGGACCCCAGGCTGCCCCCGCCTCAATCTCAAGGAAAGGCCCTTGGGAGATGCCATTCTTCTCCTTGGGGGAAAACCCCAAACTACTTCATTAGAAAGTTCCCTGACTCCCAGGCCTCCGGAGTGCAGAGCAGCCAACGGCTCAGCGCTTGTCCTCATGGCTCTCCGCCCTCCACTTTCTTTTCACTCCAGGGGCGAGGGGCAAGGGCACCAATGCTTTGATTTCCTTTGGTAGGTGTTCGGAAGAAAGGAGAGGCAGCGAACCTTCCTTTGGGTCCCGTGGGACAGGGCGGTAGCACTGAGGGAATTTCGGGAAGTGGAAAAGGGGAAAGGCTGCTCTCCGTGTCGTCCATCCGAGTTCCCACGCTTGGGCTCGGCCTGGCCAGCCCCATGGCGCTGCCACCCGTGGGGCCCTCGCCCTCCAGGCTTCAGCCGGAGTGAAAGGATCTCCAGATGCCCAGAAAGAGAATCTACGTGGTGGTCCTTGGGCTGATTCGCTTCCCTGAGGATCCTGAATGAAAACAGGTCCCAGATTCATCTCTATCGTCCACAGCGCTGTCGTCTCCAGTCTAAGATGCCTGCTTTCCTCTCTCCCCTCCGCTCGCCTTGCTTCCGGACCGGTTCTCCCCAACTTTCTCCTCCATTTTCCACGCCCCCGTCCTTCTTCTTCCCTTGCGTGTCTCCTCCCCCACGCCCCCGTACGTCCAGCTCCCAGGGGCCCTGGAGTTGGGGGGCCGAGCCGGGGGCTCTGGACTTGGCCTCTCTGACATTTTCCTGAGGATAACCAAACATTACACTCCAGTGGAATTCTGTGCCTTGAATCTACTCGGGCAAGGGATGGAGTGGGAGGGCCCTTCCCCGACCCCAGGTCCTCAAGGGCTGGCAGCCTAGCGCGAGTGGGCCACGTGCAAAGCGATGCGCAGAGCTGGAACCACCGGGCCGAGGTCGGGAGGACGATCCCCTCGGTGCCTGATACCCACCCCTCACCGCCCGCACCCCCAAACCCCATCTCAGCGGTGGGACGTGACTCGTGCTCACGTTGGTTACTACCTCCCTGAGCTGGGAGCAGGGCTTACCGCGCTGCTGCTTAAAAACGATAACACCAACTAACATATGGAGATGTCATCATGATTAAACAACAAATTATAGTCGAAGACGGCGCGATAATAATCTAAACAATCACTACAACCAGAAGAAAAGTCCTCTACCGAGCCAGGTGCGGCCGCGTTTCCGGGACTCACGGCCCTGCGTCCCTGGGCTCTCTCTCCAAGAGCACTGGAGGGTGTTCCCCGGCCTACCAAAGGGCGAGGGAGCCCCGACACGGCACCCAGCTCTCTGGAGGCTCCCCCGGACGATCTGGGACAGGCCGCCCTGGAGGGAGGCCTCACCTGGGAGGCAGCTGGAGCCGCAGCAGGAGGACGAGGTTTCTGGAGACCAGAGCGACCGAGCCCGCGTTCCCAATCCCCGCCCCTCGGCCCCTCCCACAGCCTCGCCTCCTTCCAGATCTCGGAGGAGGTCGTTTTCTAGGAGGGAGGCCTGCGCTGTGAGGGGAGGGGTGTCCTCCTTGTGTCGCGGGGGTCTCCCCCCACCACCACCCCAAAGCCTGGGGAGAACGCCGCGTGCGTTTTCCTTTGGCGAGCAATGGGCCCAGGGGTGCGCGCTGGTTCGCCCCCAGTTTGCGGAGGTAGAAACACGAATAGGAGCGGGGAGGCTATCGAAGCAAGACTGGCCCGAGTAGACCCTCTTTCTCCTCCTTCCCCCCCCCATCATTAAATAGATTCGTGTTTATAACAGGCTCAGACATTTTAATTTTAATTCCAGGGGTTGAACTCAGGCTAGAATCGTCCCACTTACACTTAGGCCGAAAATTACATTGAAATGAAACGATCAAAACCAAACTCTATGTACCCAAACAGCCAGCGTTCCGGGGTGGGTGGCCACTCGGCGCAGGCGCGAGGATTTCCTTTGGTCTGGCCTGAGACTGCAGGGTCGGCGGAGGAGGGGGCGGCTTGGGCGCGGCGGGCAGCGAGGGAAATAGTCCCAGGAGTGGAGGCGAGGTGGCGTGCGTGAACCCGCCGCGCTAATAGATGCTGCCATTAAGAAACCGGGCGGCTTCCAGCGCTCGGGGCGCAGGGACGCATGTGTTGCTGGAATTCAATCCGTGGCGGGAATGCAGATTGGGCTGCGACCTACTGGGTTTGATTTATGAACTGTTACTCTAGCGATTGTTTACACATTGCATTTCAGGGCCCCGTGCACCCTCCAGGAGCGCGTCGCGGGAACCCGCTGCAGCCTTCTCAGCCTCCCTCCCCGCCCCCATCTCCACCCCCAGACCCCTCGGGGCCCCCACAGCTCCCTCCGACCCTCACCTTGTCCAAGAAATCCGATTTCGCTGTCTTTGAGCCCAAAGACCCACATTCGGGTCTGCCCCCCCCCCAGCCTGCTCGCATCCAGCGGACCCGGACCCCGCGCTCCTCTGCTCGCGTTTATTCGCGAATGTTTACTTCTCTGTAAGGCCATGCGGGCCTATAAGTAGGAGAAGTGGAAGCAGCTCGACTGCCAGATCGATAGGCCCCGTCTCCTCGCCATTTCAGCTGAGCTGTCTTACTAATTATGAAAGGACTCACCTGATCCCTGCCAGGGACCACAGCATCTGGCCCCTCTGCGAGAGCCCTTAATGGTGGTTCCTCTGCAAGGTGCCTCTGGCCACCGCAGAGGAAGCGGCATGTCGCCGGGAGGGCGCGGCCTGCGGGGTCGGTCGTTGAGGCTCCGACCCGCGTGGGTGTGCGTGTGCGTTCTCAGCTGCGCGTAAGCCCAGTGTCCCCAGACCTCACCTAGAAAGGATCCTTGCCGTTTACTTATTTAAAATATAACCTCCTCTTTCTCTTAAGTAAACACAATTTCAGGGACGTGGCAAGGTGTCCTGGTGGAGGAGGATCTGCTTGAAGACGGTAGGTTAGCAGGTGGCTTGTGAACAGGTAAACTTATCACTTGGCATCCTGTGTCCCTTCAGGGAACCCCGAGAGCTCGGCCAAGAAAGCAGGCTTGGGGCAGGAAACAGACGACACCCCCATTTCAAACAATAACTTTTATTTTATACTTCTCTATACTTTGTAGCAAATTTTTTTTTGCTGAATTTAATTTATAATAAACTTTTAAATTACATCTCTCTTTTTTTTAAAATCAAGGCTCTTTTATGTCAAAATCTTTTTTTAACTATATTTTAGATTAACATTGAACATCCCCCCCCCCGTGATCTATACCATTGGATATTCAGGTATTACTGTATGTGTAACAGCTAAAACAAGAGGGGAACTCAAGGCGGTGGACTTGGGAAGATGCATCAACACGAGCAGGTAAAGCTTAACCTCTGTGATTTCAGCAGCGTTTTTTTCTGGCAGCCTCTGTACCTCTAACCCGAGGTTTCCTCAACCCCTTTCCTCCCTCCCTCCTAGCCTTAAAACACAAGGCCAACAACCCGTCCTTTCACTTTTCTCGAGGAGAAATGTGCAGTGGAAATGATCAAAACAAGATACTGTGTTAGAAAGGCGTGAGCGTGAATTATTCGCGAGATGCTTCTCTCTTCAATTCATTCCCCTGGCCTTCTCCTCTCCTCTCTTTCCTATTAGGAGGAGCCCATAATTTGTCATGTATTAACATGATTAATATAGTAGGCGGCCCAGGGCCGTTCCTGAGATTCTTGTGCCAAAAAATAAAAATTAAAAAAAATGGGGTGGGTTTGCCGTTTTCGTATTTCTGTGGGAAGACGGACTGAAGCTGAGGTCCGATGTTGGCTGTGCTTGCTTTGCTCACTGATCGGTAACATTTGGCAAATAAAACACAAAAAAACAAACGAAATCAAAAAGCGAATCAGGATTTCCCACAATCCTATGAGTGTTGTCAGTATCACAGAGAATCACAACGTCCCCAAAGAACGAATGGATCTTCCTCTCGATTTCCGGGAGCATGGCGTGAGTGTGTGGGGGCGCGCAGGGGAAGCCGGCCCCGCGCTCAGAAGGAAAGCCAGGTCGCTAAAGCTGCCAAGAGAGACGCCAGGAGCACGGAGAGCGCCGGAAGCAGGGACCCCGCCGCCCCGTTGCCGCTGCCGCAGAGTTCGAATAAGCTGCCTTGGATGTTGAGATTTTTGGATTCTTTTCTCAGTTTATCCCACATATCTTTCGCCCCTTCTTGGCAATCCGTAAGGGCTGTGACCGTGCAGCTGTGGAAATCCTCCCAGTATCTGGCGAGGAACAGAACAAAACAGAAGCGGGTTCACTTTGGGGGCGGGAAGGACCCCGGGCCTGCGCCCCGGGCAAACCTCCCGGCGCCCCCCTCCGACCTCCTCTCCGCCGGCCCGGCGCCGGGCGGGGCCCGGTGGGCGCTCCCGAGACCTCCGCGCAGCCTGGGTGCCGCTGACCCAGGTGGAGGCCGCCCCTTCCCTCTCTGGTTCCGCGGCCGCCGCGCCCGCTGCGCCGCGCTGGCACCTCGGCCTGCGCAAGCAGATTGCTGGGCCTCCGCGGGCAAAGCTAGGAAAACAGTGCTAAGCCTCGCAAGCTGCCGCCCATTAATGCCTCTTGGCTTGCAAGAGGGTTGCTTGCTCGGAGCACGGCCCTCCCCTCCGGGCTTCCCGCTTTCTCCTCCGCCCGCCCCTTCTGTCTCCCTCCCTCCCTCTCCACGCCGCCGCGCACTCTCCCCGTGGCCTTCATTCTCCTCCGCTCCTCCTTTTGTCTCCCGCTCTCCCCTTCCCCTGCTTCCCTCTCCCCTTCTTTGTCTTCCTCCTTTTCCCTCCCCTCGGTTTTCCTCTGTTCCGTTCCTCACTTCCCCCTACTCGCTTGCTTCGGTCCTCCGTGGCCCCTCGCCTTGCTCTCCACGCCCCCCCCCCCACGCGGCTCTGATTCGCTCCGGAGACTGCGGCCTGCCTCTCCCCTCCACGGGGTCGGTGAGTGTCAGCGCCCGGGCCCCCGGGGCTGGCTTCCTGGCCTCCTCCAGCTTCCTCAAACCCCAGAGCTCCGGCCCTGCCCTTCGCCCTCTCCCGAGGCTTCTTCGTGGCCCTGGACCTCCGCGGCCTTCGGGGTGTATTGCCAGCACCCCCAGGCCCGGGATCCTGGGCCGGCGCGGTGCCCGCCGCTGCCAGCCTTCGAGGGACCCTACTCCCAGCCCTCCCCTCTCTCCTCTTCCCGGAGCCCCGCGCGGTACTCAGCCACTCGCTCCTCCTGGGCTCGGTTCCGAGCCCCGCCCCACAACCTTCAGCCAACTTGTACTTTTTTTTTTTTTTTATTGTCCCCCTTTCTTCTGAAAACCCAAAATAGATCTCGAGACTAAAAATCATTCCAACCCGTGATCGATTCCTGGGGCGCTGTCTCCTTTCGGGGCTGGGTCGGTCAGTGAGCCTCGGTAACTCTGGGCCGGCTCCCACTTCGCCGGGGCCCTTAGCGCCAGGTCACCAGGGAGGGCCCTCCACGAAATTTGGTTGTTATTTTCTCCCCTCTCTCCTTTCTACTCACTAGCCCAGACTGTAAGCACGATTTATCCTGGTTTCCACTCCCACCCCATCTTCTGGCTGACAGTCAAGTTATAAATGCTTGTTGGACTGCCTTGAGAAATGGCTGTTTTCTAATGACCTCCGTGAGTCTCTGATTTATGAGGACTGGGGGGCCTGGGGTGCAGGGCTCCCAGGTTCCTCAATTTGTAATAAATACTGAGATTTAGAGAAACCGAGAGGCGACAGGACAGCTCTCTGCATAATTACACCTCCCAAAGGATGTCTAAATCTCTCCTTTCCTCATGCATGCCCAGATGGGGACAGGGCCTTCCTGGAAGAGAGACATGGTGGAAGATGACAGAATCCAGGTGGCGCTGAGAAGAGGTGGGCTTCAGTGCCACCAACAGTGTGGGAGCCTTGACCCAGCTGTGGCTGCCACCTCTGAGAGGGGCCCACCTCATTTCCATTTTCCAGGACGAAAGTCCTGCTAAAAAATTAAAATAGCTTTGGAATAACCAAGTTCTGGCAAATGATGGAGGATTTGAGAGCTGATCCGTATTTAGCCTCTTGTGCAACGTTATAGGTACATTTCTTACCTATCATCAGACACTTAGGATTAAAGTAGGTGGGTGTGCATCCCAGACCCAGCCTTTTGTCCCTTTCCTGATAGGAAAGTAGCAGCCACTTAGCCGCTGTGACTTCTGGTGGCCGCCAGGGTATTTAAGACTGTGTGTAGCAAAATTAAGGATGGTGCAGAAAATGGTCACTCCAACCTATGGGAAACAAGGAACACCTTTTGCCTTGGCTTTATTGGAAGGACCATTATGGGCGTGGGGAGGTTCACAACTATTTTTGAAAAATGAAGGAGCAGTGTGTGTGCACGTGTATTGCAGAAGATGCGAGTATTTCTAAGGTCTGCAGCAGCTAAAATGCAGCTGGTCCACCACAGTAGGGCTCTGCTACCCTCATTTGCCAGTGGGAGCTGTGCTTTCCAGCCAAGCTCCGGAAAAACGCCACTGGGCCTGTCCATGAACTCCCTCCTGGCCTGGCCTGGGGACACCTTGCAGATGCGGCGGGGGTGGGGGGGGGAAGCAAGAAAGGTAACTACTCTAAAGCTCCGAATTGGCTACCAACTCCGCAGAAGTGATCACTGGACATTTGGGACATGCTCCTCTTGGGCAAAGTCATTGGCACAAAACAAAATATTCTTTCAGTCTCTCTCCTAGAAAGAGGAAGAGGGATCCGCACTCCCTTGCTGCTCGCAAATTGTCTTGGCGGGCACCGGAGGGGAGTTTTATTAGAGGAAGTGGACAAAATAGGGGAGTGCCTTTCCTTTTAAGCGAACCTAGCAGAACTACCAAAAACGCCCCTCAAACCAAACCAACCGTTCTTCGGGAAGTGCTCATTCGCGCAGCAGGAAAGGGAGACGAAGACGGCCTCAAAGCGCAGCGAGGAACTGCCAGCTGCTCTCCAAACCCTCGTCCCCGGTTCCAGCGCGTGGATTGCGCGCGCCTCTGTGCGCGCGGGTCAGGCTGCGGAGGGTGGGACTGGGCCCGGCGGAAAGGATCATCCTCTGCCCATCCCAGGCCACAGGGTCCCCTTGGGCGGGGCAGGCCCCGGCAAAGGCCTGAGGGTGGGAGCCAGAAGGTGAGAAGGCGCGGATTCGCACTGGTGCCAAATATACAGACCGCCGGCGGGAGGCGGGGCGCCCTCCCACCTCCGCAGCGCCCCCCCCCCCCACCCGAAAGGAAACCTCGAGGGCCAGAGAGAACACTTACGTGCACACGGTCTTGATGTTGGTCTTGTCATCCAGGCCCTGCGGGTAGTTGGCCATGCTGTCGCCCAGCTTGAGCAAACAGTCCGAAAAGCCCTTAAAGACCGCATCGCACTTGCCCGCTGCTCTCACGGCCTGCACCAGGTACGCTGCGGGGAGGAGGGAACACCGGTCAGCAGGACCGCGACCCCGCCCCGCAGCCCGACGGCCCGCCCGCCTGGGCCCAGCGCGCCTCACCCCGTCCAGTGGTGTCCACTAGCGCCCGGGCTCGGGGAGCGCCAGGTCCAAAGGTGAATGAACGGTTTGGCCCGAGAACGAGCGACCCGCACCCAACTGCGCGTCTTCTGCGGATGGCCGGTGCATGAGCGGTGTGGACAGGGGAGGCGAGGCCATCCTATTGTGCGACTCCCTCCCGCATCTGGCTCCATCTCTTTTTCTGTTTCCATCGCCCCCTTTTCTCACCTCCCCCGCCTCTTTTATTTCTCTCTTTCTCCTCACTCCCTCCTTTGTTTCCCAACTCTTCCCCAGCGAGCCCGTCAAGGGTCTCCAAGTGAGATCTTCCCTTTCTGAGGTGACGGAGGGGGTCCGAAAGCACAGCGCGGGGGCGAGGAAGGGGCTGGGAGGCGGCAGAGCCGGGGGCCGCGCAGCCGAACCGAGCGCCACGTCGGGCGAAGAAGCCTCGGGCTCGGCGGGCGCTCAGCAAACACTGCTGAATGAACAAATTAATAAAGTCGCTGCAAGCTACCAGCAGCCACCGACATGGATTGTTTCACTCTAAGACCGACTGTCTACCATGCAGTGTGCGTTCCTAGTGAGGTCCTCGCCCCCCGACCCCGAGAGACTGGGCGAGGGGACGAGTGGTCTGGGGCAGTCGCGGCCCGGCAGAGTCAGGATGTGTCTGAGCTAAAGACGCCGGGTCACCTACGCGGAGGCCAAACCCGTGAGGCCGGCCCCTTGCTTCCCTCCGCCTCTATCCGCGGCTCGGCTCCCCTGGAAAGACCGGCCACCACTCCCGCCAGCGGGGGTTGGGGGGTGAGACCCTTCCTCGCCAGGCCCCAGCAGTGCGTCTCAGGGCCCAGATGGCTGCCGCCAGGGGCTCTCGGACTCCAGCTCCGGGCTCCCTCCAGAGGGGGCCGGGATCGCAGTCTGGGCGGTGGGAGGAGGTGAAGGAGAAGGGGTGGGGGAGGAAGAAACCCAGGCCGCACCGAGGTCCTCGCTCCTGGTCTCAGGTCGGCCAGACCCGCGGCTCCAGGCGGCCGGCGCGCTGCCGTGGCCATTTCTCTCCTTCCCAAGGCCCACGAACCGGGCTAAAGATTCCGAGGCGAGCGGCCAAAAGCACCTGGGACACCAGGAGGGTGCGCATGAAGCGCAGATCTGCGCTGCTGGGGCGAGGGGAGGGAGAGAAGGGGCGAATCTTCTCGGAATGGAATTCGGCCTCCAGTGCCCGGACCCTGAGCGCCGGGCCCTTCCCGGCAGTGTTCAGGGCGCCGCGGCTCGCGTGTGGGTGTCTCCGGGGAGGACCTCACCACCCCAAGCCGCCGGTGCCCAGAGCCGGGCCAGAAGCAGGCGAGCGGGAAGGTGACCGAAGCTGCAGAGGCCTCCGAGAGCGCACCGTTTGCAAATTGCTGCAGGAAGAGCTGGGCGGAACTTGCGCTTTCTAATCCGGAACGGGAAGCTCTGGGGAAGGGACTCGACCTCGGCTCGGGCAGATACGTAAACCTTTATCTATCTCCCGGTCCCCCTACGAAACAGTAAGAGCCCTTGCGACTGCAAGTGTCAGCTAGAACACTGAATAAACGAATCTTTGTTCCAACAGAACGCGGTCCCGATGAATTCAACCCTGCGCGGCGCCCTCTATAATCCGTACCACAGATGCTGCTTTGCAGCGAGGAAACGAAATAAAATACAGTCCATCCTCCCTCCCGCCCCGGCACCCAGCCTCTCCTTACCCCTTACCTCCACCCCCAAGGCTCGGTGGTGAAAAAGTTGCCCCTAAGATGCACTGACACTATGTTAAAGGAGAATTGGGGTTCGCCGGGGTGGGGGGCGCGGGAAGCGTTCTGTCGCGTTATCTTTCCAGGGGCTGCTGGAGGAGAAGACATGTCACAGCGCGCATGTGTGTGTGTGCGCGCGCGTGTAAAATAAGAAGTCGTGAAAATTTCTGTTTTTTTTTTTTTGCACCTGTGACTCCGCGGTCTCTGGCTGGCTGGGGAGGCCGGGGGCTTGCGCGCGGGAAGTGTTTCGCAGGCTCACGCCTCCGGGCAGGGGGCAGCCGGCGCGACCCTGTCCGTCCTTCTTGAACCCTCGTTCAGCGAGGCTCGGGCGAGCGACCCAGGCTACTTCCCCGTTCTCTGCGGTGTCCGCGTCTTGTGCCTTTTCCTTCCGTTCATTCATTCGTTCGACCTCTCATTCATTCCAAACTTCCTCCCGCCTAGCCTTCATTTGCCTTCACCACCCCTCCACCTTCCCGTCCCTGCCCCACCCCCCGCTTTTCTTGCCAAATGTCAGTGATTTGGGACAGTTCCCAGCCGGGAATTAATAAAGATCGAGGCTCTGGTGCGGGAAAGGGTAGACATTCGGGAACAAGTATGCTCCATTGCAATTCCACAGCCAACAAATGGTCATTTTCGGGCCGAGGTTACTGTGTTCCAAGCGTATTTCGCATACACAATCGCTGTCTTTTTTTTTACCCCATCCATAGTAAGGTTATTTCCTACCGGGAAAGCAGATTACAATCCCTATATCAAAAACAACTGCTGTCTCCTGCTCTCTAAAAATCTGCAGGCTAACTGCAAAAGCCACATCCAGTTATTTCCAAGATTTAAGGGATTTGCTGCAATCAGAAATGTTCTTTATTTATTGCAGCTCTTTGCACTAATGTCAAAGATTCAAAACAGCCAGATTCAAAACAGCAAATCGTTTCTTAGAATTAAAGGCAACGTCAACATCCTGCATCCACACATTCTAAAGCCCCTAAAATGTTCATGCAAAAAAACCAGATACTCAGAATCATGTCAAATGCATACAAAACCCACTGCAAAGAATCCATTTTAATATGCGGATAACTCCAAAGCCTGTTTCCTCCACATTTCTCGTGAAGAAAAATGTTATGCATTTCATCTCTTGCCCCAAACCGATTCCCTAAAGCTCCTCCACCCCCCGCAATACTGCAAGGATTTGTCTGCAAAGAATGCTACAGCCTGAAGTGATAGGCACCAACAATTCCCTCGTCTCCAGAAAACCCGTTTGAAGAGTTTCTATTTTTTCTCTTGTCCATTCTATTAATAATCTGCTTCACTTTCATTTTCAGGCCACACTAATTAATGCTCTGACCCGCATCAGGGAAGGGGGTTTTCTAGCGCTCCCTTCCATAATGCCTTCTTCATTTTGGATGAAAAAATGTGAACTTTTAAACAACGACAGTGTAGCTAGGACTCAAGATTCCTTAACATAAAATGGGGACTATATAAACCCACCCATAATCAGTCCCAAACAAACAAAAATAACAGGCACCCAACACGACATATTGCAAACACTTCTTAACCCCTTCTTATATAGAAAATACTGATGCCTATGTGGAAAGGAACAGGCAAATGAGCATAGAACATTATATCCACATATATTTAGCTGAACTCAAGCTCCTCAATGATAAGCATATTAAAAGATGTACTCTGGGGTTCCCCATCATTCTCAATTTGCCCCCCAGCCCCGTCTGCGTTGCCCGGTGTGAATGCTGCAGCTAGGATACTGGGGCTGGGGGGGGGGCGGGCGGGAGGATGACAAAGTTCTAAATGCTGCAGTCTGAACCCCAGAATATCTTTGCTTTCTGCACATAAACTTTCCAGTTGTAGCTGCCTAGCCATCTTGTTCCTGCATTCACCTTTTGACCCTTAAAAATAATACCTTGCAGTATCGCAGGGACCGGTGCATTTCCCCAGAGCGCACCAAACCTGGTGAACCCAAGAGAGGGGAGCAAAAACGGACGTGCGCTTTGGAAAAAGGGGGGAAAACCCCTCCAGAAAACGCCGGCCGCACACATTTCCTGGCGAACGTCTGGAGTCTCCCCCCCCCCTTTTTTTTTTAGAAAAACCAACCCGGGACGCGCGAGTCCCTTGGATCCCATGCTCCCACCCCTGGAGGTTTGCCGACTTCTCCGCACCCCAGGGCGGCCGCGGGCCAGTCGGTTCCTTTGGGCACCTCGGCCCCGGCCGTCCGCCGTACCTCCGCGAGCCCGGCCCGCCGGCCACTTACCTATTTGCACCGCGAGGATCAGTGAAATATATCTGCCGTTCAACTTAAGTCCCATCCTACGTTTAGTCAAACCATTTGCGACCGCAGACCTTTAAATAGTTAGTTTAGAGAACGCGGGGGGAAGCTGAAAGATAGGCATTGCCAACAAGTTCCAGGAGCGACGGAGACTTTATGCACGGGGAAGGCAGAGGGAGGAGAGAGAGAGAGGGAGCGAGGAAGAGAGAGGGAGAGGGGGAGGTGCTGGGAATGGTTCACTCCATTAGGAGGGGCGGAGGAAGTACAGCCTCACGCCCACGAGCAGGCCTGACGTGGGGGATGACACGGAATGATTCTTTTTCAAAAAAAAGAAAGACACCTTGGTAGAGAATCGCCATTTATAGTCATCAGAAGCTCGAATTAATCAGTTATCTCCAATTAATGTGCGATCCGAACGAATTCTCGCCTCTCGGAGGTGACCATTTCCCCAGCCCCGCGGCCGCCCCCCCCCCGCCCCCCCGCCTTCTCGCTGTTCCCGGGCCCCCAACCCCGCCCCCTCTCTGCGCAGGACCGGGGCTCCCTCTCCCCGCCCCGCCCGGAGCCGGGGAGTCCTGGCGCGCCCACTCGATTGTTTCAACCTGCTCCCCCCCTCCTCCACCAGCAACTCGGCGAATCCAGCCTCCTCCCTACGTTGCAGCGGGGTTTAAAGGAGCGAGAGCGGGAGAGGGAAGAACTGCTCAGCCGGCTCCGTTAATTCGACAGCCCCCTGGGCCGCCTGCCCCGCTGCACTGGCCTACTCTCTTCCTCCAACCCTGCAGCTGCACTCGGGGCACAGCCTGGAGAGCGTGAGCACACACACGCACACTCACGCCCGCTAGCCGAGCGGAGCGCCCCAGACCCTCCCGCACACACGGCACGGGAGCGCGCGCACACGCCCAGGCCCGCGGGGTTTAATCTGCACACGCGGGGGCCCTGAAATATACGCCTCGCGTCTTCGGTGACGCCCCCGCGGGCGAGGGGCCGCTTCAGGAGACGCGGCGACACCTGTATTGGGGAGCGGGGAGAGCAGGGAGGAAGGAACCTCTGCAAAGACGATTTTCGGACACTAGGGATATACTGACTCGCAGAGCTTTCGGAAATTTACGAGGCGATCGCTAGTGTGAGGGGTTCCTTCTGATCCTGATGCGCCTCTTGAGGTTATTTGTTGGGCCGCACACACACGCACACACGTACATCACGTACGCACACGCACACCCGCGTCCACACACACCTGCACTGTCTTTTGATGCTCGGGCGCAAACCCTGTGTAGACGCAGCTTTCTCTGCAACCAAGTGCTTCTGCAGCTGCGCCTGTGCCCGCGCGAGGTGCTACCGCGACAGCGTGAGTTAAGGATGAGAGAGGAACAGAGCTATTTTCTTTCTAAACGCGGTTAGGCTTTGGTTTCCTTCCCTTCCTCTGCACCAAAAGAAGCCTAAATCCTAGCTTCTTTAATCAAATGCTAAGGAAGGAGCCGGCCGACTTTGAGCCCGTGAAGAGAAAAAAGAAATGAAAGATGAAAAGGACCCGCTAAATCTCCCAAAATTACAGGAGAAAACAAGACATTAAGTAAGCGGTAGATATGCAGACGGATGAAGGCGATATCGAATCGAATCTGCTTCTCCAGGCACTGTGCCACCTGCGCGCCCATCTCTTTGGAGATGCAGAGACAGAGAAAGGGCGAGAAGGGGGCAAAACAAGGGCGGTGGGACGTGCTGTGGAGGCTGAGGGGAAGAAGGGGGGCGCGGGGGCTCTGACTGCGGCCCTTTGTGACGCGGAACGTCTGCACGGGGTGGCCCCATCCCCGCATCCCGCAGGTGCGGTACACCCAGAGCTGGGGGCCCGAGGGCCAGGGTCCGGGGTCTAGGGGCGGGGCCTTGTGGCCCCACCCTGTTGACGTCACCAGGCGGAAGGGCTGGACGGCAGTGGAGGGTAGCCTTTCCAGCATCCAGGGGCGGTGTGGCAGCCCCGGGTGTTTCCTTTTCCTGCGCTCTGAGGCTCCTGGAGGAGCCGAAAACTTGGGCGGCCAGGGGGTGGGGCGGCGGCAGGTGGCGAGAGGCGGGTGTCTCTTGGACCCGCCCCCGACGCCCTCCAATGGCAAGGCGAGAGGTTGGTCCGAGGGGCGGGGCCTCGGGGAGCCGCGGTAGGCCCCGCCCACAGCCCCGCCCCACCCCTCGGGGCCCCGCGCTTGCTGCCCGCCAGGTTTATCCCTCCTCCGCCCAGAGTTGGGGCGCCGGCTCCGAGCCCAGACTGTTGCAGGGCCCGACGGGGGGCGGTGTAAGGCTTTTTGCCCTTAACGTCCTTGCCTTTCTCCTGCTCACCCACCCGCCCTCCGCCCCCGGATCTTACAAGACGTCGTTTTCTGAGAGTGCCCTGGGATTTCCCCATCCCACCCCCTGTCATCCGAACTTGGGGCGTTGGGGGTTTGCAAGCTGGCAGCGCTGAAGGGCTAAATAAAGCAGAGTGAAGCAGAGGGCGGGCGGTTTGCGCGTGCGCACGGCCACCAGCTTCGGGTGGGCCGGTCCTGGGTCCCAGCCCATCCCGCGGGGTGGGGCGCGCCGTCGATGGAACCCCGCTGGCCTTCCCTCCACTTTCCTCCACTTGCAGCCCAGCCTCCCCTCGCTGGTGAGGGTCGTTTGGAAAGTGAGGAAGTGAGAGAGCAGAGTCAGTACTGTGCATAAACGATATTGGGGTAAATGGTTGAAAGCCCATGCTAACAGTGTTTTTATTTTTTAATTCTTAATTTAAAAAGTACTGGTCTTTCTGCCGTCGGGGCTCCAAGAGAGGTTGGTTTTTCCTAATTTCTTTATTAAAGGATAATGAGATCCAGGGTTGCCAACGCATGCTGGCTCTTTGGGAACATTGCAGGCAATATCCACGGTTGAAGGTGGCCGTGGAGGTTTCCTCCTTTCTTTTCTTAATTTGAAATGTCTACTCCACATCATACTTGAGGCGAAAAAGCAGTGGAATGGACAAGAGTGGGGAGACGCAGGTCCTAGGCCTTGTGTCGTCAGTAGTGCGGTGACCTTGGTCTGTCCCCACGCTTCTCTGACTTGCAGTTTGGTAATCTGAAAAAACAGCGGAGATCGGACTACGACCTGATCTCCAAGGTGGTTTTCGCCTTTGGAGTTTTGTGGACTGGAGGTTTTCCAGAATACTGTGGATGTGCAGCCCAAGGAATAAAGTCCATGCAAGGATGCTTGTTACAGGTGACTTCTTGCAAAGGGCACGTTTCCTTTTGATAAGCAGTTTCGTTTAAAGTTAAAGAAACGTATGCAGTTCAGGATTTAAAAAACCAAGAAATTGGTGCTGTTTGGATCTGCATATCAAAATGAGCCAGAGGTACCCCTCCCCCCCCCCGAAGGTAGGTCTGCATAATTAAGGCATAAATGTGCAAAACTCCTGTCCCTAAAACTGCCAGAAAGAGACCACGTCTAATTTGAAGCCTGGTTGGCACCACCTTCCTTTCGCGGTTCAGGGTCCTGCAGCTCCCCCCCACCCCCGCACCGCACGCCTCCGCCCCCAGCGGCGCATGCAATGTTCCACACACATGCGGACGCCAGGTGCAGCTGCGTGTGTTCTTGCACTGGTAACAGGGCAAAGCATTGAGCCAGTCCATTTCCCAACTCTCTCTACCAATCCATCCTAAGTGCACTTTCCAGATGCTACCATTTTAAAAACATCCCTTTGAAATTATTTGCGAGAGCAGTTGCCAGGTCTACTAGGAAATCCCACCTCTTCCTGGGTCAGAAAAAAAAATCCACTGCTATATTAGAACGGATTGCTCTAACGATACATCTCTCTCATAAATTTAGTCTGTCATTTTTTATACCTTCAACTAGAGTCCTTAATCAAAAATATGAATATTAATGTATATAGCTCTTTTATTTAAAATGATGACAACCATACCATATTTAAATAATCATGTGAACAAAGAGGGGGTTAACTTTTTTTCGAGATATGGTGGTAGAGTCCTAATAAAAACCCACTTTGGGAGGCTTGGGTCTCCCTTTGCCTCTGCTACTTGGTTAAGGTGATTTTTCACTCTTTGATCACTGCTTTAAAATTAGTTGAGACGTCTAGGACTTAAATATATGGCTGGCAGAAGAAACTTGATTTTAATGCAGAAATCTGAATCCTGGGAGCAAATGTTATGTTTGAAATGTATGCGTGTGATTAGCTTTCTATTTAAGAATAAATACTTTATTTTTAAAAATTAACATTTTTATTATGAAATATACGCACAGGACAATGCACAAAACAGAGCTGCACAGCTCACTAATGTATCACAAAGTGAACATCTATGTGGTCCCCCTTCACACTGAAACAGAACAGACATGACACCTAAAAGCAACCTGTATTCCTAGATAAGATCCTAAATCAAAAAGGTCAGAGAAATCGTTGGGACAGTTAGCAAAATTCGATTGTGGTCTGTGAATGGGACATTAGTTGGTACTAATGTTGATTTCCCAATTGGAGAGTTGTAGGGTGATCACACAGAAGGTTGTCCTTGTTTGGGGTGGGGACACACTGGAGTACTTAGGGGAGATGAGATGTCATACCTGCAGCTTGTTCCCATAGGGTTCAGAAAAGGAATAGCAGTAATGGGGATAAATAGACAGCAGTGGGACAACACAATAAAATGTTAAATTGGGGAATCTTTGGGTGAAGGGCTACGGGAGTTCTTTGTACAGTTCTGACAATTTTTCTTTATGTTTAAAGTTATTTCAAATGAATTATTTTTAAAAATCTACTCCAGGTGGTTTAAGGACTTAGATAGCGCCCTGCCCAAAAGCTTTAAAAACGAAGTGAAATATATATCAATAGATGAATATTCTTAAACTTTAAATAAGCATAAAAAGCATGAACTGGAAATGATTGACAAATTTGACCATAATAAATGAAAAACTTCTGTTCATAAAGTAACACCTTAAAGGAAAGGAAAGGGCAAATTACCAAAATCACCAAAATTGGTATCACGAACTAAAGAATTCCTGAAACCATTTTTTTTTTTTTTTTTTGCGGTACACGGGCCTCTCACTGTTGTGGCCTCTCCCGTTGCGGAGCACAGGCTCCGGTCGCGCAGGCTCACCGGCCATGGCTCACGGGCCCAGCCACTCCGCGGCACGTGGGATCTTCCCGGACCGGGACACGAACCCGCGTCCCCTGCATCGGCAGGCGGACTCTCAACCACTGCGCCACCAGGAAAGCCCTAAACCAATTTTTTAAAGCATGTACACATGCGCACACACACACCCTGAAAT